CACACACACACACACACACACACAAACATGCACATACACGCAGGCTTACAGTCACATGCATAATATAAATGAACAGTAATATAAACAATAATAATCTTAAGCTAGATACATACTCAGTACTCTGACTGTAACTCAACGTTATTCTGAAGCATACTCTAAGGTCATATGAATACTTGTAACAAGATGGTTAAGATGGACGAATTTTTGATGGATGATGGTAAAAACGACCTATGTGTTTTCTTTGTTACAGACCAGAAGCCTAAGTCTTTTACTTCTGACTCATGTTTTTATTTGAGGGAACAAGGGGTGTTTGTTGTCCAAAAAGACGGAATTAATTAATTTTTTTTAAAGTGCAAGCTGTTATGTACAATCCACCCAAACAGGGGAATGTGGATGTTGAAATTGTACATGCTTTCCGTATTAATCGATTTAATTTTTCGTTATCTTATTGTCTTGTGTTCCCGACCCTTGCTGTCATACAGAAATTGATCATACTTGCTATGGTTGAATGACAGGATATGGACATCAATGTTTCATCAACTTTAAAATACGTGAGCTTCCCCAGAAAAAAATAGACTTTTGTTCCCTTTTATATACAAGAGAGAAGTTTAGACACGCTCTTATAGCTAATCTTAGTCCCTTTTTTTCCGTAAGTATTTTACGGTGCTCGCAACTGCACAAGGTCATATGAGCTCGCAGGACACATTGAACATATTTCAGTTGGAAGGAAATTTTGAATTTTGCTAGGGTGGCGGTCAAAGCTTACTCTTAATCGATTTTATACCGCCAAGGGATCTTTAACGTGCGCAACTTGCACACGGGACTTAAGGGATTTTTCGCCCTTGTCCGAGAAGGCTAGGTGTAGATCTTTCCTACCTGAAGATCAGGGTGTGGCTGAAAGACAGCAGTAAGAAGGAGCCAAAGAGAAGCAGTAGAAAGGCTGCAGAAAGAGTCAGGAGCCCAGAGAAGGAGGCAAAGTAGGTGAGGGGGTGGGGGCAGAAAGTGGAGAGGAAAGCAGAAGACAGAACATTGCCAGAGAGCAGGAAAGGAGGTGAAAATAGACAATTTTAGAGAAGAAAAATTTTCCATCGCTACCCGGATTCGAACCCGGGACCTTTGAATGAGAGGCGAACACCTTAACCTTTATACGGGTTGTCCACTACGGCTGGGGTCGGCGATCGTGCTTGGTCGCCTCAAAAGCAAACGTGTTTGTTTTCAGTGTCAGGCGATCGAGTCGGGCGATCGGCCCGATCCAGCCGTAGTGGGCACCCCGTTTTAGGCCACCAGGGCCTCCATCTTTGTCTCTGCTGAGGTAAGCCTTACCCGAGGTGTGGCGTTCTCATCATTCTGTATAGAACCTTTGGTGCGGGCAAACCGGGCACTGCCCTTGAGGGACGGTGTCCGCTTTTTGGCGCTGCCGGCTCGTGGCTCGTACCCCTCTTCTTGGATCGTCTGGTTAAAATTAAATAAATGAATGAATAAACGAATGTATGAATAAATAAATAAATAAGTAAATAAATAAA